TTAGCGAGACTTTGAATCACATCAACAAACAAAGCTTGATGCCTCCACGGTATCCACGCGAACAATCCGAATCCTTTGTCTTCTCGTGATGCTAGTCACGGTTTCAAAACTTAGAAAGAAAAGAGAGCATATTGTTGTAGGTGGTTTTAGGAGAGAAAATTGCAAGACCCAAAAAACACTCTCTTGCATAAAAAATGTCATACATTTTATATGGACATGAGATGTATGGTCTAACCATCACCATACCTCCACCATGCCTCCACCAAGCTTGAGTTTAAGACTTTCTATGCACCATCACTCTCTTACAAAGCCATACCTAGTCATCTTTATTTATGTCCAACATAAATAGTATCTGATTTTATTTAATCAGATTAAATCGATACAAATCAGATATGATAATTAAACATTTTAATTATTGAAACTCCTTATTCGAATATGTTAAAAGCGTGTGACCCAATGGGTTCTCGACATGTTGGCAATAAATATAAATCTCATATTTATAGTTATAAACGATGAGCGGTATCTAGCAATACATCACATTACCCAAATGACGAGAATTAGTGATACAACAAATTATCGATTTGTAGTCAATTTTAGTTTTACATATTTAATTCTTTTGTCCTTGATGTCTAGGTTGAACACGAGGCATTGAATGTGTCATTCTCGTTATGTCCAATCTCTAGTTTCTTGATTCCCTAATATACTAATAAAAAATAGATAATGATATCACATATCAATTATCTAAGCATGCATGCATTTCTATAGTATATATTTATCAAGGGGCCCAGAGACATCACTCCCGTCATAAAKGAKRGACAAATCCTATCTCGATACATGCTAATTCTATTATGTAATATGCAACATACCCAACTATCATTTTGTCACCCAGTTACAGAATGATTAGAATAGATGTCAGAATACATTACTCACACATAACAAACTCCATGTTTTCAAGTCAAAGAATTACATGTACATTGACTATATGAGAAACACTTATGACACTCACATGACATCCAATGAAGTGTTCTCATAACGAGTCACGTCCGATATACAAAGTCTTCATTTTGTACCCATATGCAGATTCGATATCTCTATATGAATCCCTACATATGCTAGTCATTATCATATTATTTCAACCTTAAACCCGAAATAATATTTAACTAGGGACATTTAGAATACATTATTCTAAGGTTATTTATTATGAATAATTAAAACACAGAATATAATATAGACATAATAAAATGGGCAATGCCTTTATATTTATCAATTTCATGAAACAAACTCAATGTTACAATCATCATATGATTGGTTTTTGGGCATTCACTAACAGGTTTATCAAATGTTAATGTTAAATCTAGATTTGATATTCGAGTTAATTCAAGTATTAATTTATGAAAATAGATTTATCCTTTATTTGATGTATTATTGGAAATTTTAAATTAATCGCTTTGTCAAATCAATTTTCTTGAGAAAATTAAGTAAACCATATCATTGATTGATAACTGTTAAAATTGATTAATTCTAAATTATAATTAATCAAATTACTAATACACCATTTACCTATTTAATAATAAAAATAAAAATAATAAAAATATTGATTGGCTCATATTGGATCTCATGGTTATCACAAACTACCGAGTTCTTATTTAATTAAGCCCATATATATATATATATATATATATTTAATTAAGCCCATATATATATATATATATATATATATATATATATTGTTTAACCGGGTTTTCAAAGTTTTAATCACAAGTATATTTGCATACGAGTTTCATAGCGGTATCTTTACTATATTATAATATTTACACCATGTTCTTAAAATTCGAGTTTACAACTTATTTTAGATACGTAAAATTTATTAGAGCTCTACATTTGAACTTTATAATACTAACTGATAAACACGTTCAAATACAAGATAACTGTTTAAGTCAGATGATACGACATATTATTCTATAAAACTGATAAACAATCAAACAATATATCTCTCTCAAAACCACATAAAACCAAGAAATAGAATTGAGAAAGACAGATAACAGAACGAAGCATGAATCCTGATAGAAGGTTCGAGTTCTCAACTTTAAAATCTAAATCGTGCTGCATTACACGGGTACGCTTTTAATATGACTAAAAGATGCTATCTAAAATAAAACAGTTTTTGACAAGTAAACAAGTTTTTAATATGAGATACAGCTATTTGAAAGCTTATACAAATAAGGCTTGGTCGTAGTTGGAACATATGTTAGAGTAAGATCGACACAGCCTCATTCTTGGAATGCCGATCTCGTTAAAGTATAACAAAAATTAGTCTGTAATTAATCCACGACACTGAAAATAGGCATAGCTACATGGATCAGTCTTTTTGGTCATAAATGATCCAAATTAATTTATTATTATTATTATTATTATTATTATTATTATCATATAACAGATAATTTAAAATCATACATTCACAAATTATATAAAATCGAATTGGTTGTAATAACTTTGAATTTCTTATAAAGTTGTTCATTTGTCGATCTTCGTTTTTAGATCATACTATCTGTGTTTTCCTATATTTCAGTATATCTTTTTTTTTTTTAAATTTTGGATCTTTATTATTTGTTTATTAGAGTTGCGTATCGGCTTTGTTTTTCTTGAAAGACCTTATCTTTAATTTTTACGAGGCTATTTTCAAGGATTATTCGTATTGAATTTTCTTACCACTGTCGTTGTAGTCTTTCTAACAACTTCAAAATCTAGTTGATTCCCCAAAAGAAATGATCTTCGATCGTTTAAAATCATGCCACTCATGGAAAAAGCCGATTCTTAATCTTCGACAGTTATAAATCATGGATGGGAATTACAATTCCTTTTTCTTCCATCATTGCAAAATATCAAACATCCACTCTCTTTTTATGCCAAGTCTCGCTAAACAAGTTTCCTATAATGCCCCTCAAATTAACCGTTATAAGGGCATAAATGTCATTTTAAAACTAAATATACAAAAAAGGGTCAAAAGAAACAATAGAAAAAAGAATAACTATTCTATCTTTTTAACCGTTAATCGGTTCAAGACATTAGGGATGGTGATTTGTCCCGTCTGGGAAACCCGGTTCACCCGGCACAAACATGAACGTGGATTCCCTGCTAAAACGGGTCCCGGGGCCGGGGATTCTCGGTAGACTCAAACCGGGGACGGGGATCCCCGGTAGAATCAAACTAACGGATGTTATTCATGGGGTTTGACCGAAGATTAATAGAGGTTTGACTAGGGACAGAATATTAATCCCCGTACCGGCCGGGGACCGGGGCCGGGAGATGTTACTACAAACCGGGCCGGGGATTACAAAACCCGCCCCATCCCCACCCCGTTGCCATGCCTACAAGACACGTTAATTGGTTCAAGATAGGTCCTTGATCAAGCTTCATCGATCCTCCCTTTTTGCCCTAATGGCTAGTTTGACTAGGCCGTTGACCAAATAAAAAATTGATCATTACCGGATCATCATCGTAAAAAAAATAGGATTGCTGGGTTATTTAGTTTTGGACTGACATTACAAATATCGATCCTTCTATAAAAGGCTCCAGGCCTGGATGTGCTTCTATCTCATATCGAGAAATTGTTCATTCATTTTGATGAATTATCTTGCGTAAAGTATAAGATTGTGGGATTTAAAAGAAAAACTTCATAAAAAATAATTTAAAATGGGATAGACTAAATGCACTGCTATTATTTGCTAAGATAAATGATCATGTGAGAATATGAGTTAATGTAATAAATATAAGAAGGGATAAAAACCCTTGATCACTTTTAATCTCACTTTATACTAATGAATTACGTTTGATACGAGAATTGATTTGGTACATCTAATTAGTGTTGCTTTTCAATTAAGATTGATCCAATAGTGTAGATCAATTCTTATCTTTCTCACCATAACTTCAGTTTTTATCGAAACCCAACCCTGTTTGCTAAGTTCATATCTACCTATTAATTTAATCTTGATATATATCATGATCAAAACTTACTTTTGACATTTATAGTATATAAATTTCCCTGACTTTAATATATGTGTGTATATACTAGTTGTGTACCAGTGCAATGCGGCGGGAGCCGTGATTTTTAACGATTCATTGGTTTTATTAGAGAAGATTTAATGATGATATATGTTACACTTGGTCTTTAAATATTAATACAATTTGAATAAATAAAAGTTATGATTCCAATTACAGTTTATCGATGAAAAAAATTGTATGACAGTTTAAAAGGCAATATATTTAAAATCCAATATATTTAAACGACTCCACAAATGCGTTCGATTTACACTAAGAGCAAAGAATCAAGAGATCGAGAGCGAGACCGAAAGTTCTAGAGTAATTGAATGAGATAACTTTTAATAATTTATGGTGAATATTAGTTTGAATCTCACATTGGGGATGAGAAGAAGACATAGAAATATGAGATGGTGAAAACATGAGTGAAAGATGTCAAAAGTATCTTAGAAACATAAAAAGAAAAGACAATAATGTGTATTAGTAATTTGTACTATATTTATTTTAATTGTAGATTAAGAGATTTTAAGACTTAATACATAAAATAGTAGAACTTAATGCATTATGAGTTTTTTTTAATACTTTGTGCATTAAAAATTATTTTTAAATTTTTTGATAAATTTGGTTTATAAGGTAATATATATATATATATATATATATATATATATATATATATAAAATAACCCTTTTAAAAATATAATTTAATAAATGTTTTGAATGTTTAATCATCACTAGACATAAATTGACACTTGATCAAAATTAGTGTTATCATGATTAAAACGTGTGAAAAATAATAATAACGTTTGTTAGCCGAGTCAAATATTTGCTTTACTCACTGATTCAGTTCAAGAAAATTTACCGGGTGAACTCGGTATGTAGCTTGTCGTATCGACGGCCAGCCATCATCCCTTCTTATCAAAACCACCCTGCACCAATTCGCAACTCCTTCTCTCGACTCTCTCGACCCAGAAAACCCCAGAGAGAAAAAGGGTAAAAGCCCCTTTTTTGGTCATATGTCAGTGTGAAGCACATCGTCTTGTTTCTTTATCCAAAACCCTCAAAGATTTCAAACGAAAAATGACGCACGCCGTGTTCCAGACTGCGCAAATTATGCCAATAAACACCCATCTTGTACCTACCACCAAAACCTTATCATCAGCTCCGTCAAATCCTCTGTTGCCGGCCTCCAGTTACCGGGTTCTTCCGTTGTGCCGGAAGGGTTTGGTGGTCAGGAATTCTTCGGCTATTGTTGATGGCGAGGCTATGGCGGGACTTGAACGTTGTTTCAGGATATCTCCGTCGGAGTGCCCGCCGTCTTCGTCTTCGGCTTCGGCACCGTCCCATGGGCCGGTTATGAAGGGAGGACAATACGGTGCTTTTGGTGCGGTGACTTTAGAGAAATCGAAGCTTGATACGACTCAGAAACAGACCAAGTCTAGCCCTGAGGTTTGTGTTGCTATTCGAATTCCTTCTTTACTTTCTGATCTTTAGGAAGTTTTGGTGAATTGGATATTATCATTTCTTTTATTGGAACCAATGAAGAGCTAGTTTGAACCCTATTGGGGTATATAAGCACGTAGTAGTTATCTTTGAATCACAGCCGTGTGTGCCATTTTTCTGCCATAAGGAGTGATTTTGAGTGTTTATAGATCAAGTTTGAAGGGACTCCTCGTGTTAGTGTCATTGGGTCTTTGAGATTATTTATCATCAAGAAAGAAACATCATAAATAGTGATGCTTCATGGTTGGCATTATGTAGTCTTGACCCAATATTGGGATCATATGTCAGGCTTAACAATCTATCTTCGATACAGATATAATTTTTAATCTTTACCTTTGTAGAGGCTTCGGTGCTTCTCCTAATTTGATTTTGGGTAAAATAGTGTTGGAGAAATATGTGATAGTTGCAAAGTATTGTATATGGCTTTTAGTATCCTATAGGTTATTTGGGAAGTTGTTTGAGGCCTGGATTTTTCTTTGGAAGGCTTCATGGAATGAGTCGCTCTACTCTTTTGGGTAGAGATCATGTTTGATTACATCTTACCCCTCAGACCCCACCTCCGAGTGGGATATACTGGGCTCGCTTGGTTTGTTTCAAGGGCTATTGGAGGTCCCTGTGGTCTTGGATCAAATAGCAAAGTTTGTTTGTTGGCCACATGCTTAAAGCTAGCGCCACTCTGTTTTTCTAGTTCTAATTCCAATATTTGCTTATATTCTTTCCTCTAACTTCTTCTCAAGTAATAAGTGCTATTAGTCAAATGATTTCTCTTTGATGGGGAGTTTAAATATCTTTTAACAATGTTCTTTTCTTTTATGATGCCCCAAAATAAATGCGATATTTCTCTTTGATGGTACTTTATAATATTTGACTATTAGTCACAATTTCGTTGAGCTATGTGCACAATTGAACATGTTTCTCATTTATAATATGCTTCATGAAACATGGGCGAAAAGTGATAGCTTTGCTTTTTCTACAGCTTGCTATTGGAGGAGGTGGAGGCAATATTGGGAAGAGCATTAATTTTGGTGGGGGTGATGGCGGTGATGACGATGGCGATGATGATGATTACTTTGATGACTTTGATGATGGCGATGAGGGGGATGATGGTGGACTCTTTAGGAGGCGGATTATTCTACCGGAGGTTGTGAAGCAAATAGTTAACCGTTGATTTCTTCTTTTTTTGGCTTTAGCTTACATGATTACATATCATAATTTCCACATTTCGTGGGCAATAATGTTCTGTACATTCTGCCAGTTATTTGATCGGAAATTTCTTGAGGCTGTATTAAATGAATGGCAAAAGACAATGATGGATTTGCCATCTGGACTTCGGCAAGCATATGAAATGGTAAGTGTTTTTTTGTAGTAAATAGTGATGGCAGATGGATTCGTATTTCTAATGTGTTACGGTTATTAGGGTTTGGTCAGCTCGGCTCAGTTGGTAAAATATATCGCAATAAATGGAAGGCCAACAACTGCGAGGTTCATTTCGCGTACGCTTCCTCAAGCGTTGTCTAGGGGATTCATTGGCAGGTAATTCTAAGAAAAATTCCCCTATGAAGGGGGGTTTTCCATGTGTTGATTTCATCATATTCTGTTTTATGACTTTTGTCTCGGAATTGGTATATTTCTTTATTATTCTATCTTGTAGAGTTTATGTTAACATAGATGCACCACTTTGCATAAAAGTTGAGAACCAAAAGCTTTTGGTCACAGATGATGAAGTTATTGATCACGGGGCTATTTTGGTAGGTTGTCCAATGGAGATATCAAGTTTAATGTGGGAAAACTTGATGACATTTAATAGTAATCCTTTATGTAGAATAAGCATTTTGAGGCGAATGGAGTCACTAAGGCCACAATTGATAACTTTTACTTTTTTTGTTTACATTTTTTAATGTGAACAAACTTGTGATTTCTGTTTGACAATGATATCAGAACACATTTCACAAGACTGTTTCTTATTTTCAAAAGAAAATTTAAAATCACAAATACAAGTTTGTATCTTGTTTGGTATGGAAGCTCAGCTGCAATAAAGTCAAACAGCCTATACGTGTTTCTTCTTTCAACCAATTTTCAAACATCAAAATCAAGTTTACTATTTATAATTATTATTTACAAAAATTTGTAACAGATTTTGGTTCTCTGGAAATGTAAACGTTTGCCAAACACCTTTTGCTGTCCAATTTTTACCTTCTTAGAAACATAAACGCAAACACAGAAAATAAATTGTAGCCAAACAAGGCCTAAAAAACATGTGAATAAGTAAACCCGTTTGGGGCATGATATTATTACTTCTGAGGTTTGGGGTCTCCATGGAATGTGACCTGTAGCATGGGATGATAAATTATTAAATGTATTCATAAGACAAAAAGGATGCCAGATATATGTAGGAAGCGTATATGATTCTTGACCTACAAGAACAAAAGAAACAATCAGAACTGTTGGAACCAGCTGTGGACATGTGTGTTGTATGTGATATAATTTGCAAATATTGCCCCAGCCCAGTTCATAAATGCATCATTAGTTATTCGTACCGTTTGGATTCAAGTCCAGCAGGTTTCTCTTTTTCTTTTCTAAAGCTCTTGACACACCCCAGTAATTGTATCTGTTTTCTTTTTTGTTTCCATTGTTCTCTTCCTTTACAAAATCCTTCTTGTTTGCTACCAATCTAGCTCTGTCTATTTCTTTTTATTTTTTATTATTCTATGGCCTTTGCAAACCCCAGAATGAATCCAATCTATATATTTCTTTGTCTCCTAGAATATTCATATTTCTAACTTCTAAGCATAAAATTGAAACACATTTGATATTCACAAAAAACATTTGATATTCACAAATAACTTTTTGTGAATAAAGTATCATTTGCTTAATTTGTCTCTAATAGACGATAAATTTGTGCAAACTTTTGACAATATGTATTTTGTTTTTGTGTTACTCCCTTTGTCAAAGAAGGAACCTTTACTATTTGTCCGGTATTTGAAAATGAAAGGGTAATTAGGAACATCAAGGTTGTCTTGGTAAAACTTTAACGAGGATCATATTTCTCTACAAAGAAAACTTACAAAGCGAGCTTTTGTTTGGACTTTGGACAAATGGAGTAGATATCTAATACGTATATGTTTAGGATACCATATAGCTCAAATGTCCAATTAGCTTCATAACTCTATTACAACTCATTCTCTTAGTTCTCTTTCTAACAAGCCGACTGGAAAGCCATGTTTGTCAATCGAGTAGTTGATTTTGGATTAGCTAATGGGGTTGCGGGTGTTTTACTCTCTTTTAAAGAAAATTACTTCCGGCCTTGACCGAAAGCGGAGTAGGCTCCTGTCTACAGAGGTCTTGAGTCAATGGAATTCTACCCAAGATCTATAACTGCTCTTTGGACTTCCCAATTTGTATGGCCGGTCGGTCTACCAGTGACAACCTCACAACAAATAGTGAAATGCCAAAATGTCATTATGTGGCTTTCGTTTAAAGTTACATAGACCAGAGAATGGGTAATCTACTTATAAAGATGAAACTCCATAGTTGCCCTGTTTCCTATATCATATGCTCCCTTACAGAAGCAGAGTAGTTTAGACAAATGTTTCTTAATGGATTAGTTACCAGGGAATTTTGAACATCCTTTCTGTCGTTTGCCTTAATTCATTCAACTGAGATTATTCAAAGGTTGAGAGTGGAAGGCAAGGAGTGTACAAGCTGTAGATGATTTCAGTTATTCAAACAAGAATAATTTCTTTCAGGGATTTTTTTTTTCTTGAACCGTTCTTTCAGAAAACAAATTTACCAGATTGATGAGTCATAACAAGAAGATTTGTAGAGAGCATTTGATTTCTTCTTTGCCTGGGTTCCTTCCTTCCCTAAAACATGATCATTTTCCGGTGGAACATTTTATGCATTCAATCAGTCTGTGTGCAGAATTGTAGGGGAAAATCCGATCTTGGTGTTAGCTTATCAGATACTAATCCTATATCTGAATTACTAATATGTTTTATGGCGGGCCACATTTGGTTTTGGAGGTTGGTCATCGTTAGGCCGGTGAGTGGGATTTCGTGACTGAGTGGAAAATATATTAAGTAATGATAAATTTGCAAATGGAGTTATGTATTATTTGCCATTTTATAGTTAGTATTTTGTTCTTTTGCTATTTTTCATTAAGATTATGATTCGACTTGAAACATATCCTAGATCCGGCACTGATATGAATGACTTGGTCAAAGCTTATGAGCTGTATGATGGAATTATAGGAGCAGTTATTGTGTGTTTGTCAGAGATTAATACTAAGGTATCAGCAAATCTGTTTCCTTTTGTCACAAAGATCAACAACAGAAACTAAGTTCTTGGTTACATGAAAATTTTGTTCTTTGGGATGAATGTTGCACAAGCATGGAAATAGTACTAAGGATGTTAGTCATATGATAAGTGGGGTGGATGAAAAGATGAGAAACTTCATGAGTCATGTATGACTGAATAGGGTCACACCCAGGGTCAACTTTCAAAACCCTTTTTTGGTTTAGTTACAGATGAACACATGAGGGACATAAAAGACAATACAAGTTAGTGTATGCTTATCATCAATGTTACCACAAAAACCAATGGTTTGAATTTAAGTTGGAATGGAACTATCTGCCTTGATGAGGAAGCAGGAGATGTGATGAACATTTCTGGACATAAAAGCATCCACAATGGGGTAAGCTTTCTCATTAAATCTATTTTCTCAAGAAGTGGGACCCATGAGCTTAGGTGTACAAGCAAAATAAGAAAAAAAGTGAGACCCACAAGCTTATTGAGAGCTTGTGCATTTACAAGCAAAAAGTGTTATTCGTCTGGTGTTCTTTCACAATCTGATGTGGCAAATTCCAAAAAGTCTAAAAAAAGCTCCATTATGGATGCTCTAAAGTGGGTGGAAATGATACCTTTATTTGGGATCAGTGTTGTAGAGGATAGAGAGGATCAACAAGGATGTGAGTTATATGATTAGGGTGTGGTATGAATGAAAATGATGAAGCTGTGGGAGTCTTCAAGTTTAATCATCTCAAAGGCGAGTTCTATAAGACAGCAAAAAATCTGTTTAGTTTTTATGGGGTTGAGTGTTCGTTACCAAAAGACATGTGAAGTAGATGAGTATTAATATGGTGGAAATGCAACTGTTGAGGTCAGGTGAATTTGTGGTGCTAAAATGATAGATGAAATTAGAAATAAAGATATACAGAAGGTCTAGGAGTGCGTTTGGTATGCAGGGTATATGACAGAACTGAACAAAAACTTGTTGTCTCACATTTTGGTGCGACATGACTGAGTTAGACAAACCACCAAAATAGGTGGAACAAGAATCAGAGAGATGTGACAAGGTTGTTAAATTACTAAACTACCCATGTCAAATTAAAATCCTAAAACCTTGCACAATTCTTTCACCTGCTTACCTCACTCTCTCTGGTCCAGTCCAGTCTTGGTTGGCTACCAAAAGCACCCTGAATGCACTTCAACTTGAAGTTTGTATCGAGTGATCATGGAGGTATGTAGTGAAAAGAGTTAGATTTTTGACTAAAATATACCAAAGGAGTGGCATTAGACACGAGTATGTGAAAGGATGCAATTCATGCTATGGAGCTCCAAGGTTTGCCTTTTGGTGTTTTCAATCTGGTTTGACTGCCTTGTTCTCCCTTCGTCCCAAAAAATTGCAACATTTGTGATTTGATTTGGCGGATAGTTTAATAAACATGTTTGGATATTGATCAAATGTCTAAATTGCCCCTTAGCAACGAAAAATAAAGGTAAGCTATGGACACATTTTCGTTCTTAATTCTATTCGTGTATTATGTAGTCTTGTGTTATTATTTCATTTATCATATACCAAATTGAAGCATAAATTGTATAGGGATTTTCTGCTAATTGGCGGTGAAATGCAGCGAAATTATTCCTGTTTTATTGCCACTCTACTTTATATATCGTATCTCATACATGCGTAGTTAGTTCATTTTATTTATGATTTAGATCTACCATTTATTTTACCTCTTTACTTTCTTTCAAACCATTGTCCAACTTTTATAACCAACATGTTCTTCCAAAATTTTATTTTCTAAGTATTTTAACTACATTTGGTTTGTATAAAAAATCCAATACGAATGAAGTTAAAACAAAATCATATGTTGGAAAGTTAAGCTCTTCTTTTGACATTTTTGTATAGTTTTTGCATAAAAAGGATGATACTGTGATGGCTTATCCAGTCAACAAGGATTAGAGTTGCATACTGATTGGTCCGGGCCAGTGTGAAAAAGGTTTGGGTTAGTTGAAATCTAGCTAACACGGTTCAAAAAAAGCACGGACCGCTCCAGGTCTAGCAAGATGAATACTGAATTCTGACAGGCGGTCTGGCATGGTCTGAATTATGTCTGTCTTGCTAGATCTGAAGCGGTCCGAGCTTTTTTCCGACCTTGTTAGCCAGATTTTGACCAAACTGGACTTTTTTCAGACCATCCCAGACCCATCCTTGTGCAACTCTATTTCTTGTGGAGTGGATACGTCATTACGGTATCATTTTTTTATGCAAAAAGTGTACAAAAACGCCCAGAAAAAGACCATAATTCTCCAACATGTGATTCTGTTCTAACTTGATTCGTATTGGTTTTTTATAAAAAACAAATTTTATTAAAATATTCAATAAAAGATCGTGTATAATGATTCCCCTTTCCAAACCTTACAAAACCATGAAGCCCTGTGCACCAGGGTCACTCTTTATCACCAATGAAATTTCAGTGGATAGTAGTAGTCATCTGATTCTTTCCTATTTCACATTCTTTTAAACAGGATGATCGCAGATCCTGCATTTTTATATCGTTTCCTCTTAGAACAGGCAGCGACAATTGGTTCCTCGGTTTTGTGGGAGGTCAAAAATCGCAAAGAGAGGTACCATTTTCACACCGTGCTGAGATCATCAAAGCATAAAGCCACCAAGACATAATTTGATCGATTTGCTATATGGTTTATGTCAGGATAAAGAAGGAATGGGATCTTGCTCTTGTTAATGTGCTTACTGTAACGGCATGCAATGCTATTGTTGTTTGGTCTCTTGCTCCTTGCCGTTCATATGGAAATACATTCCGCTTTGATTTGCAAAATACGTTGCAAAAACTTCCCAACAACGTTTTTGAGAAAAGCTACCCGCTAAGAGAATTTGACATGCAAAAGAGAATACACTCCTTCTTTTACAAGGCCGCTGAGTTGTGTATGGTTGGTTTAACAGCCGGAGCGGCACAAGGTGCTCTATCGAACCTTGTTGCCCGCAAAAAGGAGGGAAGGTACGAAATAGATTTCATGTTATTTTTGTGCATTATGATGAAAAAGGTACAAAATTTTAGAATTATTACACATTTTAATTTATTAAATGACAACTTCACCCGTTATAATAGAGGGAGTAATGAATTTCTTTACCCCATGATTAAGGGTAGAATTGTAAATTTTCTCACCGTGTTTTTAGCGAGGCACTTTCTGACCCGTTTTGTTAAAATTGCTTCGTCAGATTGTCTGTGACGATTCCATCCGTGAGTAATAATGCTCTTGGCTATGGCGCGTTTCTTGGCATCTATGCCAACCTGCGTTATCAGCTTCTAAGCGGATTTGATAGAGCTATGGTCACCCAATTTGACGTTATCGGAGTCGGATTGTTTTTCAGCACGGCCTTGAGGTATGGACATTAAAAAAATCAGTGTTTTTTAGCTTGTTTAAAGATGGTCCGTTAAATTGTTGATCTGTATATATACATGCATACAGAATCATGAATGCACAATTAGGAGAGACATCAAGGCTAGCATGGCTAGGGGTGGAGGTGGATCCATTAGCCCACTCCGATGAGTTGCTGAAACAGGCTTACAATCGACCATCTGAAACCGACACCAACACTTCTTCGAAATGGTTCATTTCCAAGAACGCTGTAACTTCAGGGCTCGGCCTGCTTGGGTTTAAGCAGGATCAAAGTCGAACCACCAGCGAGGGAGGAGCGCCGCCACCCAAGGCTCGCAGAAAGAGAATCGTGAGAAAAAAGGTGACAACTTGAGTTCATGGTGATAACAAAACCTGTCCAATTTTGTAGCCTGATGGGATACCGGGGGCAAATGGAAGCTTTATGACGGTAACCGAATGGAAGCTGCTGCTATTAGAATCTGCCGGTGAACAAACTCTGGAATTTTTGCACCTCTTTACTTTGAGAGATTTCAGGAACTGAAACTGAAGTGTGTTTTGAACAAATAAGGATTGTTGATTTCTAGTAGGAGAGATTCTTAATCAGATATGTAGACCTGCATATGCATATATGGTTATTACTGATCGATTTCGAAATGGATGTTTGATTGAATGATTTTTTTTTTGATTAACCTGGATATCCATCTCGCTATGCGAGCTGACTAATCCCAGGGAGACCACCTGCTTTGCAGATAGCCCGGAGTCACCGCATTTGAACCTCCATGGCCACAAGAGTATTTTTATTCCTCCTTGGATTTGAATCTGGACTTCCTGGTACTTTTGACCTTTGGAGTTAAGCTCAAACCAATCAGACACCACTTTTATGGTTATTAAAGGAATGATTTTTGTTGGGAGAAAGAGGGTCCGGTGAGAAATCACAGTAAATAACTCCGATAAGAATCTAAGTTGAGCAATATTTTGACCACGAAATTTGTTCGAGGATAATCTCAATTCCACACGTAGAGAGTGTTAAAAGACACTATAATTCGATATCAATTTGTCCTATTATCTTTTCAGAGCCAAAGCTCCGGATCATCATCTGTGCCAGCAATCGCAGCTATCATTACTCATGATAATCACATGATAACCGTCACATTATGGTGTTTGTCACGTGCAGCTTGTGGCAGTCCATGTGATTGCTGCCGCTAGCGGTGGTGGTTACCACCACCTCCATGGACGTACGAAATCGGTGGTCTCCGTGGTGGAAGGTCTCATGTTACTGCGACAAGGGTTTCACCTGCGTTGCTAAGGTGAGCATTAATGTCCTCAAGTTACCACAAAAGTTTCCGTTTTCGCTCTGCAATCTATCACCAGATACGAAAACGTGAACTCGGTTTTGAACCTCAATCCAGCTACACCCCGGTTGCTTCACCGATGGTCGCTCTTTCAAAGAATCCCGCACTGACTCCACCACCTCCCATCGCCCCGCCTCCGCGTTCATATTCGATAGCACCACATAATTCGAACCCTCTTCCGGTTCGATCTCCGAAAGCTTCTCTGCAGCAAATTTAGCCATCTTAAGATCCTTACGCACACGACAAGCATCGAGCAAAGCACCCCATATTCCCACATTATCATCTGTTTTCATCTCCTTCACCATCTGAATCGCCATTTCTAGCCGCCCCGCCCTTCCAAGCAAGTCAACCATACAACCGACATGCTCCGGCAACACCTCGATCGAGTACTTTCTACTCATCGATTCAAAAAGCTTGAGCCCTTCATTGATCAAGCCAGCATGACTACACGCAGATAAAACCCCGATGTATGTGACCTCATCCGGGATCACTCCTGCAACCTCCATATCATCCATGACCCTCACCGCCTCTTTGCCCAATCCATTCAGAGCGTACCCATCAATCAAAGAATTCCATGAGACTACGTCGGTGCGTGGCATATGATCGAAGACCCGTTTCGCACTCAGCATCCAACCACATCTTGCATACATAGTTATCAAAGAATTAGTAACAAAGATATCATGCTCATAACCCGCCTTTAAAACTAAATCATGAACTTGTGTTCCCAGTTGAAAAGCTGCTAGATTTGCACACGAGCTTAAAACGGAAGCGTATGTAGATTCATCGGGTTTATTACCCTTTTGTATCATGGAAACGAAATAATTGAATGCATCGAAGTACAATCCATTATGGGCAAAGCCCGAAATCAGCGAATTCCAAGAAACTATGTTCTTATGTTTTGTTTCGTTGAACAAAACCAGTGCTTGATCCATTTTATCGATTTGAGCATAACCAGCGATCATCGTATTCCATGAAACTACATCTTTTCTCACCATCTGTTGAAAAAGATCGAGTGCTTCATCCATAAGTCCGTTCTGGGCGTACCCTGCAATCATCGTGTTCCAACAAACAGTGTCTCGATTGCTTATATGATTAAAGATTTCACGAGCCTCAGTGATCCTTTGGTTTTGAGTGAATCCTGAGATCATTGCTGTTTGAGCACCGACGTTCTTGAATGGCATTTGATCGAGTAATCGGCATGCTTCTTCTAGCTTACCAGCACGAACATATCCATTGATCATGGTAGTCCATGAAATTGCATTCTTTTCTGGCATTTCATTGAATAAGCTCAAAGCTTCTTCGATTTGAGAGTTCTGGACATAAGCTGCTAACATTGCATTCCAAGATACCACATTCTTAACGGGCATCTGATCGAACAATCTCCTAGCTTCCATAATCTGACCATTTCTACCAAACCCAGATAAGATCGTGACCCAAGAAACGACATTCGGATTTGGTATTCGCTCAAAGAAACGCCAAGCAGAATCGAAATCACAAACCTCAACAAACCCAGCTATCATTAAGTTCCAAGAAACCACATCTTTAACCGGAAATTCGTTGAAGAACTTTAAACCTAAACCCATCTCCCCACTCTGGGTATAACCTCCAAGCATCGAATTCCAAGAAACTAAATCTTTCACAGGCATTTCGTCGAACATCTGCCTAGCTTCCTTAAGCCTTCTATGATTTACATAACCTGAAATGAGAGCATTCCAACAAGCCGGGTTTGTCTTATCAGGCATCAAACGGAACAAATCTCTAGCCTTTTCAAGCTCCCCATTCCGTGTATAGCAAGTAATCATCAGAGTCCATGTGTATATGTCTCTTTGAGGCATTTGATCAAACAGCTGACGTGCCTTGTCGACTCTGTCATTGTGCAAACAACCCGCAATCATGGTGTTCCAAGAAACCAGATTGCGGTGAGGCATTTTATCAAACAGGTTCAATGCATCGTTGATCCTTGTATTTTTGGCGTAGGCAGAGATCATGGAGTTGAATGTGACAGTGTTCCGGTGAGTCATTTGGTTGAATAATTTACATGCTTCTTCGACCCTACCCGATTTACCAAACTGGGTTATCTTGCTATTTTGCTGAAAGAGAAGGCTCCCATTTTCCATAACAGATCGAAGCCTCGTTTTCATGATTTCCCAAATCCAGACTCAAATCCCCTGAAACATCATGTCAGATGTTGAAGACCAGTATGTATTTTAGCAATCACTTATGATGTAAGCAACATTTTGACTATTTCCTAACCATCCCTATCCCATTTTTACCATTTTTTTTTCGATCTCTTTGTAATAGTGTTTAGGAAGAGGTTAATGGCACCCTTAAGTAGAGATGGCCAAATGGGCCCGGCCCGGCCCGGGACCGCCGGAGGACCGGGACCGGGACCGCCGGAGGACCGGGACCGGGACCGACAAAGGACCGGCCCGGGACCGGGACCGGTAAGGACCGGTTATGGGACCGAAAACCGGGACCGGTTAAGGTTTTTGGTAGTTTCGTGGG